GTTCTCTGATTGGTGACGACGAAGACATCACCAGGCGAAAACAGCTCGCCACAGCGTCCTACAGAGCAATGTACAGTCTTTGGAAGCGGAGAACATTAGTGCGTGAGGAATTGAGTCGGAGGCTGTACAACGCGTTCGTGATGCCGGTATTACTGTACAACAGCGGCACCTGGGCACCCACTTCAGTGGCCGAGGCCCAACTGGATTCGTTTCACCGCAGGCAGTTGCGTAGTCTCATCGGTATTAGGTGGCCACAAACAATAAGCAATGCTGCTCTCTACAAGAGGTGCAAAGCACAACCGATATCTAACTTTGTTCGCCTAGCCAGATGGAGACTCTTTGGCCATATACTGCGCATGCCTGACGGATGTCCTGCTGTGGCGGCTATGATTAACTACTACCAGGTGAAGGAAACAGTGTGGAGGGGACGGCCAAGAACGACTCTGCCTATCGTGCTATCCCGTGACCTGCAGAGAGTAGGGCGGAGGGGATTCAAGACGTTGTCTGATCTCCTCTCCCTCCGGGAGATTGCACAGGGCAGAGGGGAGTGGAAGGACCTTTGCGAGGACGTCTGCAAGTCCAATAGTGGCGTCTACGACTAAAACCAAATAATATTGCTCCGAAATATCACAGTACTGCTTTTCATAACTGCTGCGGTGATAATAATTAACATCTTTTTTAAATACCAACAAAATTCCTCTCTTAACGTAGTGCGTGGATTTGCATCCACCTGCCACCATTTTACTGGATTATTCTCAAAACGGAGTCGCCAATGCCCTTTATCCTGTGTCTGCGTCCTCTGTTCAATCTGAGCAATGCTGTCATGTGCCCCTTAGCAGGTACGTCTTGTATTGTATTTCTATTTCTGTTGTCGTTGCTCTTTTTATTTTTATTTTTCATTTCCCAAGTCCATTCAGCACGTGCGAATTTGTGGGCGGTTTACCACCGCTGACATTGACGCGTAAGTGCATCACAATAATAATAATAATAATAATAGTAAAACTCGGATGTTGAGCCATAAATAAATGTAGAAAGGAAAGAGACATTATGGATACGAGTTAAGAGTAACTCTCCATCACTGTAACATGATACTTTATACTATATATGTCTCAGTACTCTGTCAGTTTTGTGCCTAGTTATTGCACTTTCTGACTGTATAAAGTATCATGTTACAGCGATGGAGAGTTACTCTTAACTCGTATCCATAATGTCTCTTTCCTTTCTACAATAATACTAGTCTACAGAGTTACCACGGGTGTACTGCAAGTCTACAGTCATTCGCCGGGATGACTAGAACTGTAAACGGCACGAGCGGAGAATCTTCCAACGGAGAGCTTCAACAAAAATACTAGAAGAGTTTGACACGAGTTTGAAAGGTTTCGGCACCAGTTTGTGCGGAATGAAGTTTAGTTGGGTACAGTGGGAGAGCTAGGGGTGAGTTCAAACCGCACAAGGATCTAGAGTATTGAACAGTTTCCGTTTCTTTGAAGTGATATGGCACGAGCGAGAACTCGCTGTTGCCCCAAGGTGAAAACGGAAAAAGAGTAACTCAACAGAAAAGAACAAGATGGATGTCATGTCGTGGTCGACACGCTGTGGTCTGGGTGTGAGCCCAGAATGGTGAACTCGCGAGGTACTACGTATGTAAGTGAAAAACGAGGAGAAAAAAAGGTGAAGCCAGATCGCGACTCCTGTACATCTAGTAATATGATGACTTGGTTTGAATAGAATCACGACACCCGTCGTGACAGCTGCTAAAGTCCAGAGGTCATGATTTCATAACATGCATGAGGAGTACTGTAGGAGTTTGGCGTCCGGCTTATACAATTCGTTTTCGCAAAGCTCCCCCCTTCTGTACTTATCTTCGATATTTCTGAGCCACCCAAGTTGGGTGGTGTGCTGCTTTGCTGCTTCGAATTGTAGTTAGACCGCTTTTTCAAGTATCTTCTGGTCTCGTCATCGTCCAGTAACAATCGACATTCTTTGGTATGGTGGAACTGTAGCTTGTCCTCGTTTTCGTTGCGCTTACCTTCCCCTCTTTGGTCTCTCCTTAGTTAACCTTGATGGTAAATGAACTTTCTGAGTTGGAAGGCTGTCGGTTAGCGCCACGGAGATGTGCTGAAGCTACATTAGAGGTTTCAGGACGTCGAATGTCTCAGTACTCTGTCAGTTTTGTGTCTAGTTTGAGGGAAAGACACAAACGGGAAAAGTCTGAAGAAAAAAATGACTGAGACAACCAGGATTCGAACCAGGGACCCTCGCTTGTAGCCAGCAATGCTCTAACTACTGAGCTATGGTGTAGTGGTCATCCCAGCAGAGACCTTTCAACATTTTTTTCAGATTTCTGTCAGTTTTGTGCCTAGTTGTTGCACTCCCTGACTATAATTATTATAAGTATCTACATGTAGTTCCAGTGATGGATAATAAGTTACTCTTAACTCGTATCCACATGTCCTTCTCCTTGCAAATGGTGAAAGAAGTCTGAATAAGAAATGGACTGGCACCACCAGGACTTGAATCAGGGATCTTCCCTCACTTAGGCCTTGGGAGTTGGGTCCAGCGATGCTCTAAGTCTAACCATTGAGCTGTACAGTGTACAACGTACATTGTATGGTGTAGCTGTCAACCCTGCAGAGACCGTTCTACATTTTCTTCAGACTTCGTGACTCCCACTTCCTAAAATAATATAGTAATTATGGCACTAATAACGACTCCCTGCTGACAACAACAGCAGTATCCGATAGACGTGGGTTGTGGACATTATTGTCACAATAATGGTCATGGCCGTACAATCATGTACATGTACATGTATCTCGGAGCTGCATTTCAGTGCCGGCACACTTGCTGCGCACTGCGTTGCTCCGCGGCGTACAGACCGACTGCCAACTGTCACTCTGAACTCTGGAGCCCACCTCAACGTTACGCAGCAATGTGCAGTGTACATGAAGCAATAGTTAGTTGAAGTCCATGAAGCCATCAATCATGGCTTGATAAAGACACCGGGCACTGACTGTTTGAGTCCCTCTTGCTCTCAGCCTCTCTTTGCTCATTCCGGCCGGGGAGCGCAGAGAAAATGCATAGACACTCAAACACATGTCGCTGCTGGCCTGCATGCAAACTCTCGAATTGTTAACGGTACGGTGCTGCTCTGGATAGCCGCACTATGTCACTGCACTCGTACTCCTCAGCGAGCAGAGAGCCGGGTTGTTGTATGCTGAGAATAAAAATCAAGCTCGGATCTTTCTCAGATCTTTGTCGGCAAACTAGCCCCCGGCTCTCGGACCCCAACCGGAACCATGTGCAAAAATGAACGTTAGAGGGCGCCTCTCGGCAAATAAGGGCACAGCTGAAAAGCGAAGTGGTCGTTTGTGAATGCACGCACGGGGGAATGCGTTCTTGGAGTAAGCCCATGAGGATGTGTGCTTGTGGATTTCCGAACTGTATCATCGTACCGGTATGTCTATGGGAGAGGTCTGCAGGATTCGCTCTCAAGTGGCCGCATTCTCGCATAGCAGTGGCAAGCACGTACATGTACATGTACAGTGCTGGAAACTGAAATCCGACCACTGAGCGGTGCGCTCGCATCGCAAAGACCCAACACGGGTTGGTAAAACTACCAAACAGGGACCGCTAGAATGTGGACGCACCTCTAAGGGGTCGGATTTCAGTTGCCGTTATGCACTGTAGCTCCTCTTCTGCTACGCCGTGTGCCAAGCGCCAGGGGTGTCGGGTACGTATGCACAGGACAATGGAACTCAGACTGAGAGCAAGTCTGCGCGACCGTATTCGGAGAAGCTGTGGAAATGCAGCATGTGAAATTCACCACGTACATGTACATGTACGTGTACATGTACATGTACAATGCCATAGCAATAGGCCGTAGTGGAACCATGCATGGAAATCTTTGCTTGCTGTCAACTCAAGTGGTCCATCGTGGTCTCTCTTCTGCACAACGACAGCGGGCAAGACATGAATGAAACAGATCTGGTCATGACTCGTGAAGGCAGAAAACATACGCACACGCTACCTCTCTCTGGCACCCTCTAACATGTACGCAGACAGTCTCTGAGTCTGAGTGCATCTTGCACATCTGACTCTCGCATACGCACACACACACAGACACACACACACACACACACGCACACACATAGCTAGATCTAGCTTTGCTTTACATTAATTTTCTGTTTCTATTTCCTGGTGCGTGCTTGTGGCATTGAAGCCGAGACCTTTGGTCGGTGGAGCCCCTGGTACCTCACCATCACTGCTGCCCAGTGAAGCCCCCGCTCAGTACCTGTTGTTTTTGTCCACATAATTATTTATTTTACGAGTTGGGTTTGTGAATAATAGTAAAAAATAAAAAAATAAAAAACACCTTTTACCTTGAAACTGCCACCTAAACTAAAGGTGATGCAGTGCCTCAAAGAGGCAAGGCCCATCGGGGAAGCGATGATAGCGAACAGGTATGTTAGACATACAATGTAGCAACTTGTGCTGGGATTACACCATTCAACAGCGTGCAAGGCTGATGAATATACACACACGCCCGCACTCAGGTGCACACACGTACACAATGTCATGCACAAGTACATACATGTACATCATGCACATGATGCACATGAGCATCCAAATACTACTCGTACATACTGTACGTACATACGCGCACAGTGGCACACGCACACACATACACACACACACACACACACACACACACATACACTTTATACATGTACCGGTACATACACACATACATGTACATGTACCTAAGGGTCACATTCTGCATGCACATCATTGCCACTTGCTCTATTTCACCGGAGTCTGGGAGAAAGAGCAGTTTGCGGCAAGCGGCTGCACCAATCGGAAATCGTCTTAGAAAATCGACATTTTCGTCTTCAGACAAACAGCTACATGTACATGTATATGGACGACAAGTCAGTACGACAGCAAGCGTTCTAGTATATCACTATTAGTAAACAAGTATAAAAGCGAGAGAGTTGTTGACAGTAAACATCAGTCGATAGCGAACTATCACAGAGAGATCTTAGCAGCTGAAATATAAAAATCAGCTTTTACTTTGTGCAGTTCTCTCTCTCTCTTCCTCAAGATGAAGGTTGCTTTCGTTCTGGCCTTGTGCCTGTTGGCGGGTACGTTCGTCCGCTCCATTCCCCTGGATGTCTCCTCACAGGATGTGGCTGAGGTAGGTGACGTGAGAACACCACACCTTTAGATTAGACGTGTGTGTGTGTGGGGGGGGGGGGGGGTCTCAGCAATGTTTTAGGGAAGATGACTTGCAAAGTATTTTATTCGCAGTCCATCGTACATGTACATCGTGTACCCAAATTTCTCCCCAAGGTACTAAGAGGGCCAGCAGATTATCGCTTCAGTCTTGCTTCACTCCCGGCGGCAGGACCCGTGTGATGCTGTTCTCCCACGGTCAATGTTCGACTAGCAAACAAGATGTGCAGACGTTTGCTGCACGTACATGTTCATGGGTGTAAACTTGCAACAAAATTGTTAGCCCATTAACCCGGACCATAGCATGAACGAGTGAAAATGATGTTCTGCCCAATACGTCTCCTGCACCACCTTGAACCTGCACGTTTGAAGAGCTGGGAGAAAAAGGGAAAACCCCTTCTACATCTGCAGTGAGACCTGTCTCATGCGACCGCTCAAGGGACCTTCGAAATGCGGTCGCTGTGTACAGGTGGTATCCGTAACCCAGGGTCATTTGACTGAAATTGACAACCCTTGGTCCTGGTTGTAGCGCTCCCTTTGGACAGTTGGCCGCCTTATCCGGGTGGTCGCCTTGACAGGTTTTCCTGTACAGTGTACGTCTGTAGTTATGCGAAGGCATACAAAGTCAGTGCTGGGTATTTATTGTTGCTACATACATGTACATGACTGATTGTCTATTATGCTTCACAACTGTTTGCATTAGATCAACCAGGATGCTGTCGAGTTCAGTGAGCGTGATGCCGCCGAGGAGCTGGAGGCGCTCAACGACGAAGATATGATGTCAGATGAGCTTTTTGAGGACGAAGATGAAGATGCCGTTGACGATTTCGAACAAGATGAAGACTCCGTTGATGACTTCGAAGAAGATGAGGATGATGATGACGTCATGGACGATGATGAGGATGAGGATGACGTCGACGAGGACGAGGATGAGGATGACGTAGAGTATGACGAGGATGAAGATGACGAGGCCGATGAGCTGGACATGGAGGATAACGAGGCTGGGTACACGCCAAAGGGTGGTGACGTCACTGTGTTTGCTGGTGGCTCAGATGATGACGGAACTGGTGGACTTGACGGCAGCATTGACGATGGTCTTGGCAGTGACGAGGGTGCAGCAGGCGGTGATGACAGTCAGGAAGGCGGAGACACAGACTTGGGCAGTGATGATGGTGGCGATGTTGGTGGTGCGTCCGATGATGGCGCTGGTGGTGATGGATTCGAGGTCGAGTCCCAGGACGACAGTGGAGTAAGTTCGCCCGCAGTGCCTAGCTTCCCTGTCCATCCCGGTAGAGTCCGCCGCCCACGCCCACCCACGATCCTTCCCAAGCGTAAATACTATGGTGGACGCCGTGTGGGAAACCGCCGAAACAACCGCCGAAACAACCGACGCAACAACAGCCGCAACAACCGCCGCAGCAGCCGACGCAGCAGCAACCGCCGAAGCAACCGCCGAAGCAGCAGCCGCCGAAGCAGCATCCGACGCAACAACCGAAAGAACAGGCGCACCGGAGGTCGGAAGAACACCCGCAGATCTGGAAATCGCCGTACCTCACGTGCCAAGTACTACGCTCTAAAAGGCTAAATCAGACTCTTTCGGCCGATCACACTTTACCACACTGCAGTGATCGCACAGCAAGCTATCAATGCACGGCTGTACTATTCCTATCGCAGAATATTTCCAGCAGCATACTAAGCAAACTTGCATGCTACACGTACACGTGTGTGTGTATTCGCTGATGCATGACCTGAGTGCGGTGAGTGCACGTTACATGTACGTACAATACACGTGACTTTTTGCTGTGCTGCTGAACAGATTATCAGAAAAACATAATCGTATTATAAATCCCACTATACCAATAACAAACACCCTATAATTTATGATCCCGGCAAGCTGGTTTCCGCTCCCTCTTCCTGGCCACACGCTCCCCTCTCTCCCCTGCAACTATCGTCTCTTCACCTGGCGCACATTTTTCTTGCTTCTTCTTTTTTAGCACAGCACAAAATCATGCCGCAGCACTACTCTCATGTTGTGTTTTAAAGGACAAGAAAATTTACCTTTCTTACAGCCTGCCCTCTATGTAGTTGTGTATACCGAATCATAGATTCATAGTGGACATGTGCCCGGTTCCTGGTTTGGATTATAGAATATACATATACATGTAAATAATCGACGTGGAGACAACAATTTTATAATAGCAATAAAAAGAACAAACTCTGCAGTCATCGCGACACTACAACGAAGTCATGAAAGTTTACCAGAATTAATTTTCTTGTCACATTCATCAGTGGAAAGTCGTGACTGAAGAGTAACCATGCTGAACAACTTGAGGCTGTTTGTATTCGTTTGCATAAGCCTGATCTTTGTAAGCAGAAGAAACATGTAGTTGCGTTAAAATTGTTTTCGTAGGTGCACAGCATGATTGTTTGTCTCACTACACAGTTTTAGCGTTATAATTATTAGTTTTTCACCCACCGTTGCACTTAGCTCTCACTTCACTGCTATTGTCTCACCTTCCCTCTTTCTATTTTGGCACTGTATTTTGTTCTCGTAACACATCATTGAATGTATATTTAATCATTGTTCAGCATGGTTACTCTTCAGTCACGACTTTCCACTGATGAATGTGACAAGAAAATTAATTCTGGTAAACTTTCATGACTTCGTTGTAGTGTCGCGATGACTGCAGAGTTTGTTCTTTTTATTGCTATTACATATACATGTACATGGAACTTAAAAAACCCCAAAAAAACTCTACCCACACAGAATTGACGTCACGCGGTGATATCATAATGATTATTTGAATTCAGAAAAAACACCAAAAAACAACATGGAACTTCAGTTACTTCACCTCGCCCCACAAATGCACCAATCAGACCATAGCGTTGTGGTACCAAACAAGGGTGGTCGACGCAGCTTGAAGTAGAGTGTTCAACAACTCAATGGGTGCTTTGTTATCAGGCGTATGCCTGTTTTGATTCCGACAATAAATGCAGTATACAACAACAACAACAAATGTGCAGAGTAGTATACACAGTCATACATTTTTTTATACCAAGAGAAAGACCAAGGAACTACAAGTTACGCTATACTGTCTACTAACACCACCAGTATAGCGTAACTTGTAGTTCCTTGGTCTTTCTCTTTGTATAAATTAAACCTTGGCTCTCCATCTGAGTCCATACATTTTTTTACTAAGGCCACAGCTTCCAATCATGACATGCAAAACAGCGGTGCAGCATCACAGGCATGAGTCGTGGACGTGGTGACGGGGTCTGATGTGCTCCACCGACCCAGGATCCGTTGGCTTCACTGCACAGCAAACGCGTCGCATGTGGGAGTAGAAAGGCCAAATGAAGTGAAAATCGGACCACGCCACAGTCCCAGAGGCCCGTGGGGCATCCATTCACTGCACTGCCCGCACGCTCCGCTGTTGACAAGAAAGTTATACAGTAAAACCTGTAACTAAAGACCACCGTGACTAGCGACCAGCCTGGTACTACAGACCACTTTGCCAGGCACGGACTGTCTCACATTCATACATGGTTGTGCGGTACAAACCTCTAACCAAGGACCACCTGCCACTAAAGACCGCTTTATCTGGCCCCAAGGGGTGGTCGTTAGTCACAGGTTTTACTCTAGTTGTAGCCGCATATGTAGCCAGTGGTGGTGCGCGTCAGCCGGTAACCTCCAGAGAGGCCTCCCTGGGGGACTGTCGCGTCGTCTGGCCTTCCGTTTCTCTCACCTCGTCGTCACGTCACTATGGGGACTTTTAAAAACTAACTTCAATCCAACATTCTGCATGTACATGTAGGCGTGCCAACGTTAATGCGATTTTTTATAGATTGTCTGCCTCACACGCTTTTCTAAATTCTAGCGCCATCTGTATGCAGGTCCCAGCAGAACTGTGCGTTTTGTTATCATCTTTAACAGAACTTTTGTCCCCTTCAACTTCTTTGGGTATGGCACTTTTCTTTGTAGAAATTGGGAGCCATTTTACCCTATGAAATACATGTAGACTGAGTCCTTTTTCTGCTATTCATTCGTTATAATTATACATGTACAATGTTTATTTATTTATTTATTCAACATCTCCTGGCCCGTCCGAAGACTGCCAATAAACATGAGAGGTCAGGTGATAGCCAACCACGGCAAGCTAAAAGGGAGAAAAAGAAAGATGCTGTCAGAGAGGGAAAGGAGATAGGGAGAGAAAAAGAAAGGGAGGCACATTAGTAATACATGGGATCACTTCGGATGAGACAGTGTGGAAAGCTGGACTTTGAATTTCCTGATATCCTGGCATGTCTTAATGCTAGTAGGCAGGTTAGACCAAAGGGAGTATGCTGAGAAGAAAGGGGATTTCAAAAACAGAGAGGAACTAGCTCGGGGCAGTGATAAGGCATTGCGTGTTGGTCTAGTGGTAACAAACCAGTTGTACTTGGCAATATGTTTCGGGACTTGGGCTAGGAAGATTTTTTGCACAAGGATACAAAGATGCTGCTGATGTCGGGCAAGAAGAGGGTGCGTGGAAGCAAGTTTATAAAGACAAAGGGAGGCAAATGTTTGGTCTTTTCGAAACAGAATTTTCAGAAGCAAGCGTTGATGTACTTCCAGTCTGTGGAGTAAAGTCTGAGACAACCCGCACCAAGCTATATCGCAATAGTCAAATATAGGCAAAATGTACGACTTAAAGAACAATTTTCTGCAGTTATCATTCAAGTGTTGGCAGTGGGGTTGTAGCATACCTAAGGACGCACTCGCACGCTTGCACACAGACTGGACTTGTGGAGACCAGGAGAGTTGGCGGTCGAGAATAACGCCCAGGTGCTTGTGCTCGTTAACAACTTTAATAGGTGTACTATTTAGACCAGGAAAATACAGAAGCTGAGTGGGGGGCGAGGGAGAGAAGAACATGGCCTCGGTTTTGGCGAGGTTAGGCTTCAGTTTCCAGGTTTCCATCCATGTTACTGTAGCGTTGACCCCGGACTGCATGGAGGCCGTGAGGTTGTCTGCCGAGCTGTCGGAGCACATCAGAGCAGTGTCGTCAGCAAAAAGACTTACATTTGGTACAAGGGCTGGCAAGTCATTAACGTACAGTAGAAATAGGAGCGGCCCAAGTATGGACCCCTGGGGTACCCCAGACACGACTAGTAATGGGTCTGATAGGGAGGTAGATACTCTGACAGTCTGGTGGCGGCAGGAAAGATAGGATGAGAGCCATTGCAGGGCTGGACCATGTACCAAGAAGACGGACTCTAGCTTTGCAAGCAGACCACGATGCCAGACGGTGTCGAAAGCTTTCGCTAGGTCAAAGAACACGATGCCAACATGCCGCCTGAGGTTCCGCTGGGTGTAGATGTCTTGTACTAGACGTGTTAGTTGGAAAGTTGTGGAGTCTCCACGGCAGAAACCGGATTGAGATGGTGAAAGCGCTGGGGTGACGTGGCAGTACAGAGACTCAAAGAAAATACGTTCACAGACCTTTGACACAGCGGGAAGGAGAGAGATTGGTCTGTAGTTGCCAGCCTGAGAGCGTTGGCCTTTCTTATAGATCGGGACGATAACAGCAGATTTCCAGACGGACGGAAATACTCCTGTACGATATGACATGTTAAAGAGCAGGCACAAGGGATAGGACAGAGATGGCGCAAGCCATCCTCCACTGAGGAGCTCTGGAGAGCCAAATATTAGTTTATAGCAAAGAAAAGGATCAAGGAGCTACAAGTCACGCTATGATCTTTTATTTATTTATTTTTAATTTTTATACACAGAGCCTGTGCGCCTTAACCTGAAATAGAGCTCAAATGCCCGGAATGGGCAGAGCGTAGTACCCAAGAGGTACACAAAATTACTTGTAAAGGGAAGTAAATAGGGCTGTTTTTGTTGTAACTCACTATTCTCTGCTTGCCTTCATATATCTGCTTTTTTCTAATCTCCTTATGTTGTCTGATGATTGGTTTTTGCCATAAAACTCTGAGTTACAACAAAAACAGCCCTATTTATTTCCTTTAGTGTACCTCTTGCGTAATTTTTGATACAAAAGTCCACTGTAATCCCGGATAGGCACGAGAAGTGGTGGCGGGGCCAGATCAAGATACAATCAGTGTAGTGCGAACATAGACTTATGGCAATAAGTAGGACGAGCTGAAGTGACATTTGGATTACTTTATTAGACAATGAAAGTGACAGACATAATTGGACAAACAGCGTTGCCCAGACACCGGCTAAGCAACACTACGTTCAACGCGACACTACGATAATGAAATCGTGTGTTCAGCGCATGGTTCAGAATATCTATCTGAGTCTGGCTATATCTCGACCTGAAGTATTTAAGTATTCGACGAGGAGACAATAATTTTAATATGGCAATAAGTAGGACGAGCTGAAGTGACATTTGGACTACATTATTAAACAATATTTATAAAAGCGATCCTGTCAGCTTTTCTATTATTGTGTTTAAGTGATGGACACCAATTGGACAAACAGCGTTGTCCAGACACCGGCTGAGCAACACTACGTTCAACGCGACACTACAATAATGAAATCGTGACTTCAGCGCATGGTTCAGAATATCTATCTGAGTCTGGCTATATCTCGACCGGAAGTATTTAAATATTGTCTCCTCGTCGAATATTTAAATAGATACGATTGCTATTTCAATAACCTACGAGGAGACAATAGTCGTAAAACGGCAAAGAATAAAACTAATTGTGCACTCATGAGTCATAACCATGTACATGTATAAAACAATAACAATAAATGAAAATGTTTTTGTCCACACACGCACACATGTGACATACATGTACATGTAGCTGCCTTATTCATTTACCGCTACAATTTTCACATTTACATTGTAAAGCATAAAATCACACTGCTGGTGTAATTAACGCTATGTGTAACCGCGAGCTGCTATTTTGTGAATAATATTCTAGCTATATAACTGGTTGTTTTGGTGATATTTACCATTTTGACGATGTTCCACTGATGATAGTCACGAGAAAACGTTATGGAATTTGTTTTCATTTAGTAATAATTATTGTTTATACATGTACATGGTTATGAGTC